CTCGAAAAATAAAGTAATTTGGCCTACTTTACTGACTGGAAATTGATCCCAATTTAAATTGCAAGGGGGAATTTGCTTAACTCCTTGGAAAATAAATATATAAGATAAACAAATTAGGTTAGACAAAATAAAATGCAAGATGAGAATGAAGTTAGGATTGTTAGATTTTTTTTTTAATGATTAAAAGGATAGAGTGGCTTTCAGTTTCCAAGTGACATAAAAATACTCAAGGGGTCTACCCAAGAGATGTATTTTATGCCAGTCCGTGCTATGTAGTACAATGCACCCAAGGGGTATAACCAAGGGATGGACATATGTACTCACTAGTTCCCTAGTTACATTCCTCCCTACTTTTATTAAACTTTAAGAAATAAAAGTGCCAAGAGCAAAGTATAGTCATACCCCCAGCTATTACAATAAATCTCAAAGCTATGAGAGCTATTTCAGCCAAGGGTGGTTAGATTAGATTAGGTATTAGTATGCTAAAATGAAAGGCAAGATAAAAATAAAAATGGACAAGACACAACGAAAATTTTCAAGTGGTTCAAGTTTTCTCCTTGTGAGAAAACTCTAATCCACCGTAAGGTTCTAGCTTGGGTCCCTTTCCTAAATTCCCAAAAACAAACTCAAGAATTCCTTCAAGTGGAATCTAAACCCTTACAAAAAAATATACTCAACCCAATATTCAATTACTTGAATCCTTCACAAGTGTTTGAATGACTCTAAGTGAGCGTGTGATTACAATGTGTTTTCTACAAAAACAACCAAAGGATTTTATCTCAAATAGCTATCAAACTACCGAGATAACTTTTTGTTCCTTCACTTATCCAAACTTCCTCACAACCTACGTGAGAAAGTTTAGGATTTCACTCCTATTCTAGGTTTAGAAAACCAGAAACTCTATGCTTAGAAGATGAGAATGAATGACATGAAGAACCAATTACAAGTTTGAGCTCTAACACAATGCGTGTGCAAATATACCTCCCTTGAGAAACCAACCCTCAAAAATGAAAATTCTCAAGCCTAATGTACTAATTCAATATGGAAAGTTTGGACAGAGTTTGAATACAAAAATAGCAGAGCTTGAGAAGGCTTAGAGTGAATTAAGTCTCTTTGCACGTTCATGTTGCCTTTGATAGATCAAGGAATGCAACTTGAAACTACAAAAATTCAAAGCAAATTAATGCTGTTGTCTAGTTTGAAATTTAATCTTCACTGTTTGATATCTTGGAACATGCCGCAGCCATAATTAGACGTTTGTGTCTTCAAAAATGTTGTTACCTTATCTATCAACGATCTAATGTTAAAAGAATCACCTCAATTGGATGTTTATACCGCTAGATATGCCTGTTTTACCAAAATACGCCACTCTAGTGAATTTCTGTACAACCTTTCGGGTTTGCTTGATTTTGGACATGATAAAAACTTTCTTTGCAAATACTCAAAGCACCAAACTTTCTTCTAAGTTCATGATTTTTTTACTTCTTATAGATAAAGATATAATTCGTTGAATTTCAGTAATTAATTCTGGAAATTTTGACGGGTTGAACTTTTACTTCTACAAATGTTAACACTTCTAAAATCATTAGCTATATCAAAAATTTGTTTCATCATCAAAACACTTAATTATGTTTCATCATCAAAACAACTAATTTGTGTCTAGGTTTAACAATATCTCATGGACAATCTTAAGAGTATATTTTATTGGTTTCTGCCCAACGTGTTTGATTTGCTACACTCGTTTGGTAATTGATTTTTGGCTTAGACTTCGGGTAGTTGTTTAGGTTTTCAAAATTTTCTAGAGGAGATTATTGAGAAATACGATTCTAGAAATGGAAGAGTTGAAGAGAATGCGAAAACACTATCGCTTGTTGATGCTTTGGCTTCTCTTATCCAAGTTTGGTATATATTTCTAAGATTAATGCTATAATTGTCCAGCTAACTAGAAGAGTCTAATTATTTGCTTTCAGTTTTGATCACAGTTTGGTTATTAACTTTCTTCTATTCTTCAAAGATAGATGATAGTTGAGAGTTGAAACTTTATTTTTGTGGTAAAATATGATATTGGTTATGCATAATGTAAGTTATATTTTGTTTCAAACTGTGATACTTTCTTAGTTTCAGTTGATTAAGAGTTTTGATAGAAAAAAGTGAATGGAGTTATAGTGAGTGTATTAGATCATCTATCCACATGATAAGGAACCTTTCTCCCAGGAGCATAATGAGGATGTTACTAATTTTCCACTGATATATCAAATAATTTCATAATTATTTTTTCATCTACAAGGTCTGAGCAAGAAAGGTGGCGGCAAAAGTTTTGTTAAACCTTTTAATGGGATCGTTAGCAACAGTTTAACTTGCCAAAATTGTTCATATCATATTGAAAACACTTGTAAATCTTTTTATTTAGGGTTAATATCAAATACACCCCCCAGATTCAGTTGATTATCTAAAACAGCCCCAACCTTCGTATAAATATCAAAAACACCCCTCTACCGAGGAGTTTACTATCAAAACGGTCTACCGCAACGGAAAGATGATGCATACTTATGACATCAGCACAAAAATGACTGTGAGCACATTCTTACCCTCATTCTGCCGTATTGAAGAAGGGGGCAAAGTTCAAATTTTAAATTTTACATTTTATGAACCTTTTTTTGGGTTTTGCTTGTTTTTCTTTTCTGTGAACCTTAATTCATATTCTTGTTCATCCTCAAGCTTATATTCTATATTTTAGTGTATGACTAGGGTCTAATCTTTTCATGGAGCAATTACACTTCCCTTTTTTCTGGGATTGAAATGGAGTAAATGAAAAAAATAAGGCTTTGTTTGTTTTTTTCAGAATCTGTCTCATCCCAGCATACCTTTTTATATTTTTAATACATTTTTTTACATTCCCAATACAAAAAATACTTAAAAACACACACTTAAAAAATAAAACAAACAGACCCTAAAAGTGTGTTTGGGGGCGGCGGGTGGCAAGGAAAAAAATGATTTAATTTCAAAATTCGAATACAATTTGATAACCCAAACAGAGAAAGATCGGTTTCAATGCCCTTGTGGTAGAGTTTTTCATAAATCAATAACCATTACATATTTAAATGTACAAAACTACGCACCTAAAATGGAAAGATTATAAAACAATAATCATCCCCAGCACCATCACCACATAATAGCCATATCCAGTCTGGGCGAAAATCATTAATTGTGCGGCCAGATCTAAAAATCTTGGTGGCCAGCAAATCTCGGGGGTCTAGGGGAGTATATGGCACCGGCAATTGAAGTATAGTTTAGGATTAGGCAACGGAGTTTACGAGGAAGAAACGGTTTATGGTGACTTATGATGCAGAGGAGGAAGAGATGTACTGATGGTGGTGAGGTGGGAGTACAAGTCCGGCGGAAGGAGAAGGGAGGAGAAAGAGATGATTGCGGGGAATGACTAGTGAGGACATAGCTCCCTTTGTTACTTCAAATGGTGGTAGGGGTATTCTTGTCATTTAAAATTAAATATGCCTTTCTAACATTTTTTTAATGATTATAGCATATGAACTGGCCGGAGGCTAACTGGGTTTTTAGTCATTTCGTGGATTATACCGGCTGACTTTTAACTTTAGCCGGTCAAGGGATATCTTGGATATTTATTTAAAAGGTAAGGATATTTAGATAATCAGTTAAACCTCAAGGGTGTATTTGATATTAACCCTTTTATTTATGCTATATATTTAATCTACGATGGATTGCTTCATGTTTTCATAGATTAGAATTACGAAAATATTCGACCTTGTCACATATTGAGATCAATCTCAAACTCATTATCTCTATAATATTGATTTTATTCCATAATTGTAATTTTAAACTTTTACTATTGTAATATAATGTTATTATTTGACGTTCATCACACCATAGGTACAACCAACTTCTTTAAAAAAGCAAAATGAATACACTTGATTTTTTTTTTCTATAATCATCAATAATAAATTTTTCAAAAATTAATAATGATTAAAATCTATGTACACTGATAGCAAACTAAGTATATCAGATTTTATTTAGAGTGCGTGGAATGCTACTAGTCTTTCATAAAGTGATGAAGGAGTTATCTTTAACAACATAAACCCTCGTGCTTTTTGTATTTCAGACGCATATAACAGTGATGTACGAGAGCCAAATAATCACATGAACCCAAATTGCTAGCCTTTTTTCACTACATATACTATTTATTGAACTACACCTGAGGTCGAAACATAGCCTTTCCTGTCAATTAAAAATTATAATGCAAAAAATGAATAATTTCAAGATTTGCGTGCAGTATCTAAGTGGAAACAAGTTTATATTGAGATTTTATAATCTCCATATGCTGATTCTGTATCACCATATTCTGAAAAGTAAAAACCATGTAAAATTGCGTTTGAAAAACTCCACGTAACCACGTTTGGTCCCCCCCCTCCTTTTACACGATTAAATCAATATAAAATAATTGAAAAAACAACAGAAAGTGATATACGATGAATAAAACATTGATGCAAGAACTAGATTGAATTTTACTCAATACAGACTAGGTTAAGGACATAATAACAGATGAAGAGGATGGCATTAATGGAATCTAAAATAGACATTGTGCGTGAGAGTATTTTTTCTGGTTATTTTTCTACCGTAGCGGTTACCATATTTGTTCTTGATTCTTTTAGGTCTTCCATTTATTGATCTTCGTAGAAAATAGCAAAAATATATCATCTGATTGAGTTAAGTCAGTACTCTGTACTATACTTATGCGGTGGAGATTAAATATCGATTTAGATGATAATTTTGAAGTTATTAGGTTGACAATATGTTTGCTCTTTTGGGGCGAAATGGCCTTGTAGAGATGTAGCTGCTTCTTTATTACTATTATTACTCAGTGCTTATGGCATCGCATTCTGATCCAAAATAATTTTAAGAGAGTGTTAGACCCAACTGATATATTCTGTAATTCGATATTTTGATTATATGAAACAAAAATGAAGCTACGGATGACTTTAAATCTGAAATATCAGTTGTGGACTTGGTTTGACGACCACATCAGTGATCTATAATGTAGATCGATATCGAGATAGTACAGTACAGTTCATGAAATTTTGGTAACCTAACGAAGTAACCAAAAAAGAACAATTTCCCAACATTGATAGCGAAACTACATATCAAAAGGCAAAAAAAATAAAAAATAAAAAATCAGAAGGAAAAATGTAACACAGTTTGCTCCATGTTGATAGTCCACTTTGAGTGTATCGTTTTTTACATGCTCTCTAAACCAACAACATCAATTACTCTGCTTATCCCGTAAGACCTATGGAAATCCATCTACTTTGTCTGAATTCCGTCAAGAAAGTTAAACCTCATGCTATATGAACTGGAGAAACAAAAAAAGATCCCTCAGTAGTTACTGACAAGACGGCCGGTAAGAGTATACTATGTGCATGATTTCAGTTTGCTATCTGGTTTCTGCAGAATTGTCCTGCAATATACATGAACTCACTGTGTTAAGGCCGGAATCAACTTCGCAAACACCTTGCATTTTTTAATATCAACTATTACCTCAATTTCATGTAAAAGTTGTTCAAGTTCAACTCTGATCTGAGAGAATGACGGTCTGGTAATAGGTACTGCATCCCAACATCTCACCATTATATCTGAGAGCTTTGGATGAACGTCTGCAGGAAGCTCGGGACGAATACCCTGGAAAGCAATTATACATGAAGTCACATATAGATAAAAAACAGATAATGTATTCTACTTACTAAAGAGGAGTGCGGGTCAAAGTGCTAGCAAATCTCATCTTTATAGTGCTGCCTAAACACAAGGTAACAAATAACATGCCATTAATACTTCACAGGTATATATCTTGAGTTAACCTAATGATGGAAAGAATGTATTTTGGTCTTTCTCCGACACTATTGACGTCATGGTCATCGAATATGCTCGAGATGCCGGCAGTCGACGAAATCTATACCTCGAGGGTTTGTATGCCAGTAACTTTGCTCTCAGATAATCAAGAATATAACCATCCACATGAGAGATGTTCTTTCTCATTCAATGAAGGATTTGTACATTGATCACTTTAATAGCCTAGGATATCAGGTAACACTTACTCTAGCATATTAAATCAAAGGCGGTTTCATATCAACTGGATCAGCACCAGAAGCAAGGAAAACAAATTTTCAAAGTTTTCAGAAAATCATGGACATGCTACAACAAAGCAAGTACAGTGGTAATGTTCACAATGTAAACATGCTGAGTTCAGTAATATTGAAAGTATGATCAGGTACCTACAGCTTAAAGTACCTCCACTAACTATTTTCTCCTCCGTCTCAAGATAATGAAGTTAAAAGTACTACTCCTACATTAAAATTGGAACTCCAGTGAATGGAAACCATGAGGTTCTGCCAATCGAAAACTGGTATGATTCAACTTCATCAATGAACTTTACTATTTTAACAAATAATAAACTTCCATTCATAGTTGAAATTTTCACGAAACCAGCACAACTTATGCTTTATACTCTCACAAATGACTATAAAAAAAAAAAAAAGAGAGAGAGAGATAAAGAACATAAATTTTGAACTAACTATAACAAAATACATAAGATTTTACAATTTACAATATTTTTCACTTATATATTGGAAATGTAAATTTGCATACCGTTCTTACTCCCAGAGCAGCTTGAAGAGGTGTCAGACTTTCATACGGAATCTGAAGATTCACAGATTCAGGGTTAGCCATCAAATTAGAAACCATACAGAGGATTCAGAAATTCTGCATAACAAATTTTACAAAGCACCTTGGCTGTCGCAAGCTCCCAAAGAACAATTGCAAAGCTATAAACATCTGCCTTTTGATCGTATGGTTGATGATTTATAACCTGCATTTAAGTGGCAAGATACTGAAAATAATTACAAGGCTTTTTATTAGGACATTAAGCTATAGACTCAGACTTCCACAAAAAAGAGATCAACAGAACAAATGGAATCATGAAAGACAATTCAGGTAGAATTTGACCTTCGCAAGCAATCATAGTATTCAAGAGACAGAGAAAGATAAAGGCATGAATGAGTGAGCATAGAGCTGAAATACAACAAAATGGCTTTCTCCAAAAGATAAAAACGAAATACCGGCAAAATAAGCAAGACGTTTATGCCAAACCACAAGTTATCTTAGGCTTCTTCAATGATTAGGAGAAGCAGAATTAGACTATCTCTATATAAGGCCCACAAGGAAAGTCATCAAGCATGACAAGTAAGATCAAGATGCTGAGACAATGCATTCAAACCTCAGGAGCCATCCATCTATATGTCCCAGTCTCAGCTGTCATGATACCCTCACCAGACTGGAACCGGGCAACTCCAAAATCAGCTACCTTAACAACCTGCAGATGCAAAGAGTACAAAAAAAAGTAGCTCATGAGACAAAAAATAAGAAGTGGGTTACAATGAAGCCACTACCAAGAAGCAGAATATTAGAGGCGCAAATACTCTTTCTGGTTGTGACTCAAGTCCATTGCAGTTTGAAGTTTCTCAACTCCCATCACCATAACAATTCGCTAGAACTCTTTATTGAGTACAGCATTTCAGAAGTTAGGAACTTAGAATCCACGTTTAAAGCAACCACATTGAGCATAATTACCGAATGAATTTATTCCTCTTTGTTGCAGCATTTCAGTAGTTTACTGACGCTACGTTCTTGTTTAGCAGTTTATACATCTTACATTCATGTTTCAGCTACCTTTAACTTTCACCAGGAATAATTAGTCCTGCAAGGCAACTGTAACTGTGTGGAGATATCATTTCTTTTACTGTAACTGCAACCGTGTAAAAATTCCTTAATGCATTGCAGATAATCTTTCCAGCACTTATTTTATGCACTCGTTTTCTCAATAACTAATGTTGGAGGAACAGTTTATAACTGCTAAAGGTATTACAGAGCTTTTATATAGCAATTCATGAAAGCCAGTATAACCTACAGTTACTGTTAACTAACAGATGAAGAGAACCATTTTCACACAGAAAAAAGAAGGGTTCATATTGACACAGAATGCTGACAGATAAACTGGATTGTTATGGTTAATTTCTTCATGGGAACATCTGAGAGTTTCATAGTACATGAGCACAAAGTTCAGGAGTTAAAACCAAACAAGGCATCTGCCCGTTAAACTGCTGCCCATAAAAGATGAATTTAAGGCTACTGGTCACGAGAGAGAAAATCAACCAAAGCTCCAAAACTACCCACTTCAAGGCATCAAATTAATGACCACCGCAAACAGACTCTATAACACAAACAGTGACAAAGAGCTACATAGTTAAAAACACCAGATAGTGAGAAACTTATAATGACAACTTTACTTATACATGCCAAAACCATCCATATAGCTTATCTAATTTGAGGTCAAAGCTTAAACTGTTTTTGGTTTTCACCCCAATAGAACAAATAACTGTGTGTCAAACAAACTGAAATCAAAACTACTTTTTATTCTTTGTTGAAAGCTTCTTGAAGTTCTGTATCCCAAGTAGGACAAATAACAGATTACCTCTAAACTAGCCAAGAGTTAAAACTACTAGTTATCCTCTACTAAAATCCATACCTTGAAATTAGTCTTTCACCAGAACTTTTTTACATTCTCAAGGAAAAATCCCAGAGGACCAAGTCAAGTACAAACAGAGATTTAACATTGAGTGGACATTAGTTGTCTTATGCATATGAACTCCAGCTCCTAGCCCTCACCCCCTCAATGTATTCTTTAATGGGAACGACCAGCATGGAAACAACAGGTAAATGAAAAAAAAAAAAAAAAAACAGGTGCGCAGATCACATTTACATTACCTAAGTAGTCCATTCTCAGAACTTACGTTTAGATTATCCATGAGCAAATTTGCGGTTTTTAAATCCCTGTGAATTATATTGTTTTGATGCAAATACTCTACCCCTTTGCAGACATCAATGGCATACTTCAGAAGCTGAGGGAGTTTCAAGGTCTTATGCTTCCTGTGTAAATAATCATAGAGGCTTCCTCCCGGCATGTACTCTACCCAAAACAAGGGAAGAAAATGTAAATAAGTTAAATAAGCATTAAGAATATCTTTTAAGGTAAACAAAAATTTTCATTACATATTTTTCAAGAACAGAATAGCAACCAACAGTAGTTAGAAAACCATAAATCAAAGGCGAAATAAAAGAGAAAGTTACCAAATGCATAAGAGAGTAAAAGCAAGTTTGATTCTCAAAATGCTTTAAATAGGAGCTCAGTTTAAGTCGCTTTTCATCTCTAAATGACAAACTTGGAGGGAGAAATTAGAATCATAGTGTTTACCATAAAGACAGCTGAATTAAATCAACGAAGTGTCATTTTTGGTAACCACAAAACTGGCAATGCTTTAAATAAGGTATCATCAAAGATTTTATGCATAATTCTCACGTGAGTCGAAACAATGGAGCGTGTCCGTGATATATTGTGATTGGCCTAGCAGTAAGACCCACCAATCAGAGTGTTGACTCACTAGATATAAAAATGCAAAACACTAAGGTTGTTTTGGAAGTGCACAAAAAAACTGTTAGGTATCTTCTACGGTGCTTAAAGGCAGAGAATCATTAACACCATCAAAATGGGGGAGGGACCTAAAATGAATTAGAAAGAAAACCATATATGATTTATTTAAACTTAAAAATGAACATGCATTTTGATAGCACATGGTGCTGACTCTCACAGATCCAAGTAACAGAAGCCAAACAGAAGGATACGGGCACAGTAATTGTTGCTGTTCGATTTACAAAAGTGAATTTCACAAGCGCTCTCATTTGGGCCTAAACCAAGCTCCAACCCCAACAACCAGGCCAAAAAATTTACACAAGAGTGATCACAGAAGTAAAATCTCAGAATAAGACTGTCAACTGTTTTAAGAGAAACTGTTCTGTCTAATATCTGCCATTAGACAGAACAAGATTATCAGAATCAAACAACGCATACCTGTAACGATCCAAAAATTAGGAGACCTTGTACATGCTCCTATAAAGCGGACAACATTTTGATGCTGAATTTCCCTGCACTCATGCAATAACAAAATCTTAAAAACTTGCAAACCATCTTTCCTTTCGTAGGAAAATATAAAAAGTGCCTAACTCTCTCCATAAGTGAAAGTAAGGCCTCTTTCCTAGTTTGGAGGATGTAAATTAGCCAAAGAGATAGGTCAACATGTATCTTCATTCGGGCCCAACCAAAGAAACAAAAGGTGTAAAGATATCTCATCACTACTAGGTCAATCTACTTCAGAACACTCTTCATAGTACAATATCACTTCTGATCATCTGTAACTAAATTCATTAGCCAGAAGTTTTGATCATTAAATGAAATTGAACACTTTGAATACTAGAAACCCAGAACTCCAACATGTCTTAAAACAGATCACAATGTAGTTGATGCTGTGTAGCCATGAAACTATACAAGTGGTATAAACATCAAATAGACCACAAATGACACCTTCTACAACAGGTCTTTTTCTAGGCTAATAAAAATTAAAAAATAAGGATCTATACTCTTAAAAATGGAACTTCATATAATGCACATATTAACAAGCTTACTAAAGCACTGAGCTTATTCTGCAATATTAAGGTTACTTAAACAGCCTCTCTGTATTGAAATACAAAGGAAATGCTGCGTACATCCTGACCCCCCAGACCCCAATCGAGTTGGGAATATACCGGGTATGTTGTTGTTGTTGTATCCCCATAGCTCTTCATCTTTTATTAAAAATAAGTTTTAAATGTAAATCTTTAAGTAAAACAAAATAAAAACAAATAAAACTAGATAAAGGGATAACTGTTTAGGCTTCTAAGTAATAAAAAAAATCAAATCTTCACTTTTTTTCAATCACAATGATTATACCTCAAGATAGCCACTTCTTGAGCAAATTCAGCTTCTAATGTGTTATCCAGATGCTCAGATTTGAGAATCTTGACAGCAACGTCCTGACCAGAATAAACTCCTCGGTACCTTTTCATCAATAACAAATTGAGTAAATGACACAACAGCATGATGGAAAGTATTAGTGAAGTAACAGTTCATTCACTTCTATTTCATGTGTTGAACTTACAGGTCTGCAGAGGATCCTGAGGCAATTCTCTCCCCTACTTTGACCAACCTTGCATCAATTTCCCATTCTCCGGGTTTTGTGTCTAGAGTTAAAGCCTTTTCCACCGCAGACTTGGAAGGTGAAGATCCAGACCAATTTCTCTGTGGCACTCAAAATAGCAAAGTAGTCAAAGCCCAATGTTTTTCTTTGAAAATTGCAACTAAGAGAGTGCACCCAGCAGCAGTGTGAAACTGAAATTACACAAAGAACAAGTAACATAGGCAGGACTAACCTAAGAAAGAATCAAAACCCCATGCAATCTAGAGATTATGCTCATGTGAACTTGACTTTAAATCTCATTTTTTGAACTATTACCCAGTCTTAAAATCCAGAGCAAAAGCATCACCAACAAAATCCAGAAATAGTGTGTGAACCTATTAGCTTCCTAACCCGTCATCGTCGTTGTAATTCCTACGAAGAGTTAGGGAATTGAAACAAGGATGAAAAAGGAAAGGTAATAGATACTGAATCCCTCATCTAAAATTTGATGATTTGCATCCATTTTTTGCCGCATGTACATCTAGTCCTCCCCCGCATGCAACACGAAATAGACTCAAGAATTTTTTCATAAAAACAAGAAATATATGCAAACCTCATGGAAAAGAGGATACCTCATTTTTATCAATGGCTTTTCTCACAGCTTCACTCAAACCCTCCGTATCCTGGCCAAGAGATTCAAAGGTCAGCAACTTTGGAATCAGCACTGATCCCTAGTGTACTAGAAATGTAATCAGAACTCTTCTCATAAAGGAGTTGTAAAGTGTCTCATGAGAAGGAATTCATCTAGATTGACAACTGACAGAGGTTTGGTTCTTCCTTCCTGTTGTCATTGATTATTGATCATTAAATGTATCAACAGTCGGGACATAAGAATGAAACCGACCAAAAAATTATGTGAGATAAGGATATTCCTCACTGATAGAGGAAAGCCAATAATTACTTATCAATATCTAATAGAGGGTAGTCTAAGATTTGGACAAATAACAGCATTATTGGAAACTCATCAATATGTATTATAGCGCAGAAAAACTCGAACAAACTCGTCTAGAAGAAAGTATACCTCAGCAGGCCATCCATCTACCACAAAAACATCCAAAGAGTAGCCATCGGTAGTAGAAAAGACATGAGCTTCACGGATGTTAAGCCCAATATCGGAAAGTAGAGCCGAAAGCTTCAAAAAGAGGAAAGGGTCAGACCTCAGAGTAAATCTTTCGCAATCAACTCACTAATCAGTTAAACGTACTCACATACAAAAGCACATATAGTTGACCCCGCATGTATCAACATCCTTCTTTTTAGAGACATAAATTCACATTACGCATATCACAGAAAAAATAAATATGATGCAGGGGAATGCAACATAGGTCATCCAAAGATTACATTTATTATTATGGGGAAAAAACTAACACTGTGTTGATACTTGTTGACATCTGACAGCAAGTTCTATATCTTTGAGTAAGGGACATACATTCCTCGCCTCACTCAATGTCTTGTATAGTAATAACATTATCTGACACATAAACCAAGAGTTTTAATCTATGAGTAGCAGAAACCCTATCACAGTGGAGGTAGCATTCGGAGCATAGAAGCCACACTAAATCATGTCACACATATAGGCCATTTAAAAATATCAAGTAGGTTCTATATTCACCAAAACTGAAGCACGATAATATTCCAACATCCAATTGATACACTGAGACTGAAAGGAAATGCAAGGAGAATATAAGTGTCACTATCCTGATCTTTCCCCTTTTCACTGTAACAAAGAAGACTGCATATGCTGATACCGCTATTACTTATACTTGACAGATTTAAAGCATGTTAATCAATGAATCATCTATAAATCATAAGGCTCTAGTCTTGCGTGAGGGTGAAATTTGAATCAATATAAAGTAATACCATATTGGCAGTATACAGCACCATCAAAGTAATGACATAAAATGATTGTCACAATTAACTTCATGAATTGGTACATGCGGAACTTAGTTGAAATGTCTTGCATTAAAGTAATAACCTGACTTAGGAGCTTTGGTTTGTCAATGGTTGAAAAAATAACTTCATGAATTGGTACATTTGGGACTTCTTGCCTGCGCCACAATAGAATTGGTTAACTAACACTCCACAAAACAAACAGTCCAATCATGCAACAACAACATGAACATGAACCGTATACTATGACAGCACATTGAACTCAAAATTTTACATTTGGAAACCGATTGCATCTGAACTTATTCACGAACTTGCTGATTCAAGGAAAACAATAACGGAAATCACAAATTTCACACTGGAAAGGAAGGTACTTAAAGTAGGGTTTCCATGAATCACAAAAGTTAACTATAAACTTCATCATCTATCAAGGAAGTGAAATACTTCCTTCGTGAATGGATCAACTGAATCAATTTGACTCATCAACTCGACAAACACAGAATTCAACTATAAGTCCTTGAGTTCAAATAGCTGAGCTTCAAAGTTTTTTCTGCAAAATCAAGGTATTCAAGATGATACAAAAGAGTCCAACACAAGTCGAATGGGGATTATTGATGCTGGACGTGGGATGCGCCCACACCAAAAGAAAGGAAGAAGCAAAAAAAAAAAAAAAAGTCCTCGGAGCTTTTTCACTTTAATTTCTATTCCAATAAACTACTTTCTTCCTCTTAGTCAATTTACAATCTTCTTTTCTTAATAGTTTACTGGCAGGAAGTTAACTTGTTCAATTAATACAGTGACTCTACCATAAATCTTACTAGAAATTGATAAAAGTAACTCTATGTGACTGACAGATTTAATCCAGCTTGAAAATATATCGTAGCTTTCTTAAAAATTTTATCTCTGCAAAGATACAATTGTCTATTTCAATCTGCCATCCACAAGTACATCCATTATAAAATTTAACAGAGGACGACAGCAAGGTAATTATAAGTTTGCTAGAAACTACCTTTGGGTAAAATCTTCAACAGTAGTTCCCCTCTCCATGTCATGGGAATACTTCCTAACATCCAAATTTAGGTCGCCAAGCTTACAGCAAGGTTCAAAGTCACTTACAAAATTCCTGTTTCTAATTACAAGCAAGTGAACATAGAGGGAGAGGAGAGAGAGAGAGGCAGAGAGAGACGGAGGTCATGAGGCATTGAGGGAACAGAGAGAATACATGAAAAGCACCAAGTGAATGAAGGAGGAAGGTCAAAGGTGCAGTATGAACAAAAGAAAGTCTACTTCATAACAAAAAAAATTTTATCATTGAAGATTTCAAAATCTCATGTGAAGATTTCAAAATCTCATGCATAAAGCACACCAAGTGAACAGAAAAAAGAGGGAATTAAACCATTTCAAACAAACCTGTCATGAAAAGGCATCATCCCACCACTATCTGCAGTATCAGGTGGCTTCACAGTGGATGAGATGCTTGACACTTCGTGGTCCTCAATCTCTTCTCCCTTGGTCCAAAAATTCTGGCCAATACAGTAAGCACAGCAAAAGCATGAAACCGGGCGATAAGAAAGCAGAAAAAAATCTAAGGGCAGATGTTTAATGACAAGGCAAAGAAAGCTAAGATAAGACAGCAACTCTAACCTCCAAAAATCGAACATGAAAAACCGGACGACTACCAGGATCCCTTGCCTTGGAAAGAATCTTCTGATGCAGCAAAACATCTTCCACTCTGTCCATGTTGATGTCCAATCCATAACTGAAAACAAAAGCACAAAGATCTCAAAATTTGAAGGGACTGTGCTACAAAAGACATGGAAGAGTGGAATGTCATTGTCTATGCATCATGTATTTCAGAAACCACTACATGCCCTCCAATTTAGGAGAATGCCAACAACAATTACTAATTAACAATTCAGAATCTTAAACCAAAGAACAAGACACTGCAGAAGTCTAGATAAACAGCAATTTATCGAGACAACAAAATGTATTCTACGGGATTCAAACTCAATAAGAAGAGAGTACCAACTACTGTTTGAGCCAATAAAAAACATGGCTCAAAAACATACAAACGATGCACATTTAAGTATGAATCCTTTGTAAGATACTAATTACTAGAATTGAACATCTGCGACATGTGAAATCAACTGTATGTACAAACAGATCAGTGATGCTTATATGCTTTCTTCCATATCCGACGCACCCTGAGCATATCACAATTCTCAAAACTATTGGTTGTATGCCACTAGACTAATTAAACACCACAAAGAAACATCCAACAAACTCACACAGTACTAACAAAATTTCTTGAAGCGATCTTCATCCCAAACGTAATAATCATCATCATAAGAGCACAATTTCTTGGATTTAATTTCATGAAGCACAGGTTCAAATTCAAACGCGCACCCACATTCTCCAATCTCTGTGAATGCGTACGATTGCATGTAACAGAACATCAATTTATTAAGTCAAGAAATCAAGTTTCTCAAACCTACACAGAAGAAATTCACTGCAAAAAAAAAATAATAATAATAATAAAAAACGAACCTAGAAGGCAAGCGGTTGAAGTGAATTTCCAGCTGTTCACGGAAGAATTCAGGATTAGAAACAACCTCTTCGTTTCCGCTCTCCATTAAACGATGGTAAACATCATTCCGTATATCATTTTGTCCGAAACTACCGAAACTCCTCGCCGGAGACGAGCTCTCACCGACCTCCTCCAGCAAATTCATAACTAGTTTCTTCTTCCACCAATATAACCACCAAGAAATTAGTCCAGTCCTCTTCAACTTTAATCACTCATAAATGCTTGAATATCCTCTGTTTTCCGTCACATATTCGGTGCCTGATAGCACAAATTCGCCGGAGAGAAAGTGAGAAATTGCGAGCTTGAGCTGGAAGACTTGCGTGAGAGAGAAAGTGAAAGAGAGAGAAGGATCTCTTGACGGTTGAGGAGGAATCTTTATAAGTAAAGAGGGAAGGACTGAAATGGAAATTACTATTCAAGTTTAGGGGTATTCTCGTCTAGAAAAGATTCCACGAGAGTAAAACCAGGAGGTTCTTTCGGTTATGTCTTCGTTTGAGGCCAAAATATGATCATCGACTTGTACACTATCTGGCAAGTATTGAAGCAAACGGTCTAGGAAAGTTTTGGCAACAATCAATATTTTCACTGCTCTTTTGAACATTTTTACAATGTAAAAGATTTTTTTCTTTTATTTTTCAACTTGGAGCCAAGATATGAGTTTCAATCACATTTTTACTGTAAAGTTCTTCCACTTAGATTAAGATTCGTCTCAAAATACTCCAATAACCGCATTTAACAATTTTTTTCTTGAAAAAAATAACACTGTTTAAAAATGATAGTCTTTCAGTATCTAAAAAAATAGTTCGCATTAAATTTTCTAATTTTGTATTATTTAAAATAACTTTCAAAATTCAACATAAACTAACTTTTTAGAATAATACAAGTACGATATATTTAAATTACAATTAGAAAAAATCTATTAATTGAATACGATATATATATATATATATTATTCATATGGCTGATTCATGTAAAGAGTTAAAGGCTTTTTTGTCGTTGCTGTGGAATCACTAAAGAAGTTGCAAATTATAAACGATTGTGCTCTTTTTCTTAAAAGGAAAATAATTGAACTTATTAATTACTATTATTCAACCCTAGTGTTGATAGTGTGTGTTCACCCTCAGTGCGTGACTGTGTGAGAGAAAATAAGTATGGGCAAGGAGACAAAAGGTGAGGAAGATTAAGAAAATGATTGTGAGTTTTTTACTTTTTATGATTAAAGAAGTTAGAGAGTGGATAGGGTTGTGGATTGATAACGATTTATACCACCTTTTATTATTACTTTGACAATTGAAAGGTTCAGTACATTTTTCTTTGTTTCTTTTCATTTTTTAAGTTAGTTGCATTTTAACCCCTATTCTCTTTAATCCTTCCTTTCTTTCTTTTTTTTCTCACTAGCAGTCAATCTTATCTTCTTCTTCACTTAGAAGTTTCTCTTGATACAGTAACTTTTTTCATTCAGTAATTTTGTTGCAATTTCCCGCCCAACGTTGGAAATACCATTCTTGGACGCCAAGTTCTTTCTCATTTTCTTTGTTAAGATTGGAAAGTCTAAGATCTATGAATTTAGAGTTAAAGATCATTTTCAATAAACTCTAGACTCTGCATAATAAATAATTAATATCATTCACTATCATCCCAAAAGAAGAAGAGCACTTTTTTTAACTTTTTTTTTATTCTTTGTATTTTTAAAAAATAATGTACATTAAATTTTAAGTTTTGAGATTTGTAATATTTTTCGTACAAACTTCAACAAAATCTAAATGATTTTTCTCAGTTCTCACCCCATTCAAAGTAAAATTAGCTTGTCGAACGAAACTACACTCGATACAGAAAAATTTACCAAAGCGGCAGTCAAATTAAATTCCTCAATACTTGGAAAGTATTACGACTAATCACGCGCTTCGTGCATTTCAATCAAATAGCAGCCAAGTAAATCAATTACTATAATAAGCTTAGGTTTGGTCTTTCTCCTTTTGAATTTTCTCTTTTTGATTTGGTATAAGTGAATTAATTAAGTACACTACACACACAAAACACATATATGGGTATATCTTTCTTTGATTAGGTAGGCCAGCAATTGGGAAATTTACTTATAGTATATTCGAGAGTTGTAAAAAAAAAATTGATTTTGATTTTTGTGACGCATGTGCTGATGGAGGATTATACAATAATGGTACGTTTGTACGATATGATTAGATTAATGTGTTACATTTGTGATCGTAATTACCAGAGTTAGTAATTTACATGAACAATTATACTCCTCACATCCTAAAACAATAGTCCACATTGAATTTTAAAATTTGTACAACATGTACTATTTTTTTGAGACTGGTCATATAATAATAAAATATGCTGGAAATAATTCTATTCTAATGCGAAAATTTAAAAATTTATGATGGATACATGACTTGATAAGTGTATGTATTAGCATGTTTACCAATGAGATGTGCGTACCTACACTTTTAAGTATTATTGGCACGTATGAGATATGTTATTTTGTTAAAAAATTAAATTTATCTCTTCTTATAAGTGAATGCAACGAAAAATCCCGGAAATAACGAATAATGAAACAAATGACTCGAACTACTACATCATTATGTAACAAAACTAAAATTGCAATTTAATTAGTTGCCAATTTGCCATCTAGTGACATCTTGACTCGAACTACTTATTTTTTGTGTTACATTACGCAATTATTCAGTTACGAAATTAGAATAAAATTACCACGCAAAATTTTTATTGAAAGGAAATCATAAATATTAGTTTTTTTTGGATACGTACATATCAACTACTTCAGAATCTTGTTTACTAAGAATTAATTTTTGAGAGGCCTTAACAAATAATTTAATTAAATTAAGATCGTGATGGAATGTATTCGGCATCTTACGAGAATCTCCAACAAAATTGGACATAATTTAAGCCTCCACCACATAAAATACTTTAATCCACCTAACTTTTTCAGCCTTATTATCACCAAACTATGATAATAATATTTCAAGTTGCAGTCGGTAATGTCCATCCAGTTAATGTAAAACAATGGTACGACGCTAATTAATTAGTGGTTACTTACTGGTTTAAGAAAAAGATAAATAAATGATGGCTAAACTTTCTATGTGTATGTTTAAGGTTAACACGATCGATACCTTAACTTACATACTTGTAATACGTGCCTTGGGGCTTGACAAACTTTGTCTACAAGACAAGTATTAAATAATTAATCTATGGAAAATATATTAGTTTGGAAATGCATAAATAATATTCCTTGAATTTGAAAAGAGAAACAACAAAACCGTTGTCAAAGGAGCATCATTTTTAATGTGGAAATTAACTTCAAATGATGTGAAATTTAGTTCAATCAATTAGCGGATTCCATTATCGAAGTATTATGCTACAATTATTCCGTGGTATTTCTATATGGAGTAGAGTGGGGAATTTCATCTGTAATGAATAAGACATTTATATAGAGGACATTGCATAATCCAAAGATGAATTTGTTTGCAACTGCACCAAAGCCTGGGGATTTCAAGATGAATAATAGTATATATTCACCATGCATCGCCATCCTCATCACACAAACATAGTCTATTTTGTTAAACTAAAACAAACAAAGTGAGCAAATATTTTAAAATAGAAAAAATATTTGTTAAAATATAGTATTGTTTCGTAATAATTTTCAAAAATTTTTTTATGTTCTAATTTTTTATTAGAATGTAGTATCGTTTCAGAATACTTTTTTATTTTTTCTTTTATATTCACAATTTGACGTCTAAAATAATTATTTTAATTAACTAATTTGGATTCGGTATGAATAAGTTTTTTTTCTTTTTTGGAGAGGCAAAAATATCCAACAGTCACTTTTTTTAATTGAAAACAACACATTTTTCCCTTCTCTTTCCAAGTAATTATCTGCTTTCACAATTTCTTGGTTACATTCCTAACTAGTAAAAGTTGCATGGTTCATTGTTTGTACATAAGGATATAAATGAATACATCAACATTCTAATAAGTGGGGTGAACTTTTTACTATAAAATTTAATTACGAGATGCGTGAAACGTGATTTTATAGCTCTAATTCAGTATGATATGATGCTTTCATCAAACTCATATTACGGTTAGATTAATTCATTCGACTCGAATAGTTCCTTTTACGAGAAGTTAAATTCAATAACCTTCCCCTTTATGAACAACATACTCAAACATGAGTGATAAACGTCATTGTTGGCTTTGCGAGATAGGCATATAGAGCAATATGTCTTTCGAACATAATTTAGATTTTATTCTGACGAGTGTTTTCCACTTTGTATAATACTTATACCCCATATGTTTCACCAAAAAGACAATAATATTTATCACCTTTTTAGAATTATGGATCATTACACTCTACAAAATGATGTGACCATTAAACATGATCCTGTGTTTATTATGTACTTCTTGCATTAAAGGAATTTATTTCAAGGCTTGAAATAACATCGGACACGCTCTATTTAAAGAAAACGCTTTTCTACTGTTTCAAAAAGGAGCCCAGAATTTAACCCATAAAAATAAAATTAAAAAAGGAAAAAAAAAAGATTCCTATATATGAAACATATGGGTAAGCAAGAAGGATTATAATTGCCCAAAAAATTGTTGTGATTTATCTACTTACCGAATGTTAATAATAACACTTGGTACATGTAAACCGACCATATTTGATGAGATAAATGTTAGGCAATGTTGTATTAATAACATCAATTTTAATAGTAGGAAAAATTTAATGTTATCATTATAAGGGTTCTCGCGATTGAAAGTGTTAGAGATTAGATAGTTTAGGTTAATTGAGTAGAGGCTTTTATGTAAACCTGTACGTATTCTATCATCTCTAAGTTTTTCTCGCATTCTTTTCTTTAATTTGTTTGTTGTCTTATGATTTGCTAAGGGCACGCCTACAAGAAATATGAGTTTGCTGAAGAATCCCCAAGTTGAGGATACAGCATTTCGATAGTAGAAAACTAAATTTCATTAATTTGATAGGAAAACAATCTACACATAAAGGAGGTACAAATTAGAAATAATTTCCAAATCTTTTTCAGAGTTGTTTTATACTTCCTCCGTCCCATAATTATTATCCAGTTTGAGTTTTCATTTTTAATTCAAATTGTACTA